CATGCCATCTTCTCCCTAGTCCTGGCCAAAGCTGCCCTGGAATCTGGTGGTAGAGGAAAATGAAAAGTTCCAACTCTGAGTCCTGCTTCTGCCAGGGTGACCTTGGATATCCTGGTGTCCTCCCCGCTGGGCCTCAGAATCCCTATGTGTGAGATAAAGACATTGGACTAGATACGCCCCCAAGTCGCTTTTGGGTCATGGGCCATGATCTACTTTTGGTCCTTCCAGGACTCCTCTGCCCATGTCAGGGGACCAGGAGGCCCCTGCTCCTCACCCACTGAGCATCTGCTGGGTGTATGTCTCTTTGTCCTTTTGCTGTCTTGCTGGGTTCCCTTCTGCTCCAACCCAAGCCAGCTCTCCTTGGACTTTCTCCTTGGAGGATGGAATTCTCCTCCTGTGCCTGTTATAGTACTCCCTCGAAGAGTAGAAGGCTGCTAGCAAATCCCTTACACACACACACACACACACACACACACACACACGTTCTATTTTTAAGTAACATTTATTTCTGATTCTAAAAGTAAGGCTGTACCTGATCATTGCAAGAAAATTGGAAACAGACAAGTAGAAGAAAAAAATGAAAATCACCCATAATCCTTCCAAACAGTGATAACCACTATTAATGGGTTTTATTTAAATACACACATGTGGGGTTTTTTTTCTCTGTTATAGAATTAAGATTTTGCTGCAGATGTAGCTGCAGGTCACCCCAAGGCTGGCCTTGAGCCTGAGTGAAGTTTTTCTTTCCCAGACTCCTGGGACTGGTGGCCACTCTGTTTCCTTGTAGACAATCCACTTGGGTTTGCAGGCCCCAGGCATACCCAGAGTTCACATTTTGACAATGTGTGTATGTGTGTGTGTGTGTGTGTGTGTGTGTGTGTGTGTGTGTAAGAGAGGGAGCATGAAAGAGAAGCAGGAGAGACAAAAAGGCAGAAACAGACAGACGGAAGGACAGAGACACAGTGTGCGGATCTCAGCCCGCCCTCACAGAGCCCCAGGTTCTCCTCAGCTGTGTCTGAGGCAAAGCTGTGGCGGGGCTGCCCACAGTCTTTGCCACAGAGGAGCTGAGGTGCCTCACTAGGCTGATCCATTCCCATCCCTTGAGAGAGGAAAACATAGAGTGTGCTCACCTGCCTGTGGGGTACCATGGTTGCAGCCGGAGGACAGTGACAGAGCCCAGTGGGGTGCATGGAAGCCGACAAGATGACACCTGCCTTCTTGGCCCACAGACTGGGGCAGACAATGTTGGAGGTCTGGGGCTTCTTATAGACTGAGTGTGTCGCAACAGGAGGGACCAGGCCTTTCGCCTTCTCACTCTGAGATGAGAAGAACAGGACTATACAGGAAGTTGGTGGCAGAGGTAAGCTGGGGGAAGGACAGGTGACTGTGAGTGTGGAGTAACTCCCCAAGTGGCAGCTCTTTATTTGGGGGATGCATCAGTCAGTGTTTACTAGAGAAACCTATATAACACAAGATCCACAAATACACAACAATCAACAAAATGGGCTTATGGCGGCTACCCAGAGTTAGATGAAGAAGCGTGCAGAGGGTCTGTCTTTACACTGGCAACCAAAGGAGCCAGCCAAAGGTCTGGAGCTCGCTGCAGTGTCCTGAGCGAGTCTGTATCAGGAAGCCTATGTGTCTGTGACACAAGCCTAAGTCTATACCGGAAGGCTGAAGGCTCTGCACTGGAAGCTGAAAAATTTATGCTGGATGCCAGATGAAGTCCAAGGTGAAGGTGAATATTGGAGCTCTTCCAAAGAAGCAGAAGCCCATTTGTCCTTCTCCATTTGCCCTTTATACTTCCCAGGCCAGAAGCCACCCTCAGGTGGGCCTTCTACATCCTAGGGTGTGGAAGTGCTGAGCCAATTTAGTTGTGTTTCTCTTACTTAAAATGACATAATCAATCATCACAGGGATGACTGAGAAGGCAGGCATAGGGGTGACAGACTAGGACTCATCAGGGCCATCACATATGCTTCCACATGCCTCCAAACCCAGAGGGAGTTGTCCCCTCTGGTGAATCACTGTCCCTTCTGTCCAGGGACAAGTTTTGAGGATGCCTAATCCAGATCATCAGACTCCTTTCCTTCACATAACACCTACCTGCCAAAAGTTCACCCCTCTCCCAGGAGAGGTTTTGTTTTATTTTCTGATACTGGGGATTGAACCCAGGGCCTTCTCAGTTATATCCAAGCCCTTTTAATCTTAAGACACGGACTCCCTAAGTCACTAAATTGCCCAGGTTGGGCTAGAGTTTGTGATCCTCCTGCCTCAGTCTCTCAGAGTGCTGAGGTTATAGGTGTGTCCCACCACACCTGGTGCCTGGGAGGTTTTAAGGCCACATCCTGCTCCCTTGGAGTTCTTGTCCTCTGGCCGTGGCACCCTCACTAGAAGGTAGCATGGCTGTGCCCAAGGTGCTGCTCGTGGGAGTCCCCCAAGTGCTGTCTGAACACCTTTGCGCTGTCCTCATGGAGTCTGCAGTTCAGGAGGGGAATCCAGGGCGGCTGCCCCTGGCTGTCAGCAGGGGCAGGGCAGGTGGTTTCTGCATAGGCTTTCCTACAGCACGGCACAGGGTTCCTAGCATCAGTGTCCCAAGACAGCCTGGTGGAAGCTACGCCTCTGTATCTCCTGGGCCAGGGAGATAGCTCAGAGGCACAAGTAAGTTTTATTCCCAGTACCAAAATAAAAACAAAAAACCTATCTTTATCACCCATTCTCAAGGCCTAGGGTCAGGGTAGACTCACCCTGCCCACCCCGATGGGGGAGAAATGCACAGAAGTCTCATCAGGAGCTAGCATGTGACTTGGGAAACACTGGCACGACCTCTTTGGAAAAAGCAATCTGCTTTGTGCATCCTTTTGGAGTTTACAGTCTTCCGGGGTGGGTAGAGGACAGAAGTAGAGGACAGAAGTAGAGGACAGAAGAATCAATGCTATCCTTTCTCGTGCATAGACCTACCAGGCCCCACACTCAGCCTGCTGTCTCTACTGGCCTTCCAAGCCACTCTGGTGAGTCCTGTTGTTCTCCTTCTGCAGACGAAAGCCCGAGGCTTAGAAAGGTTGCACTGGCTCCTTAAGTCACACTGCCTGGGATTTGTGTCCAAGTCTGCCTGCCTCCAAAGCCACAGCGCTTAACATCCTGCCGCACTCCTCACCTGAAGAAATTTTACCCTAGGGGAAGCACAGTAAGGGAAGTAGTTTAGACAGGCAACTGGGGTACGGCAGATCTGGGAAGACTTCTGGGCAGAGGTGATGCTAAGCAAAACCTTGAAAGATAAATTAGGTCTGGATACCTTTGGAAGGAGGGGGCAGAGTCTGAAGAAGTAGCAGGGGATAAACCCAGGAAAGGTGGCTACAACCTGGACGCCTGACCTTCGGCCCCTCATACACCAGCACGTAGAGTATACTCCCCTCAGGGCAGGTGGAAGTGACAGCCAGATGGGAGGACCTGGTCCCCAGAAAAGGTGTCAAAGTAGCCCTGGCCTCTCTGTACTCTGTGCCCATCAACTTCCTCTCTCTGAGGCTAGGAAAGGGGAGGAGGCATCCACCCCCACATACACACCCTGCACATGCAGGCTTAACTTTTCCCCTTGCACCTGGGTTGAATCCCAGCTGCCTCCTGCAAAAATATATACAGAGCCTCCTGTCCCCTGTCCCCTCTATCCCTGTCCCCTGTGCAGGTTCTAGCCAGCAGGCTGGTGGACTCACCTTGGGGCACTGCCTATAGGAAGTTAATTATCTCATTGATAGGAATCTTGCATATTACAGGAGCAGCTCCTGCCCCTTCCAGGACTCTCTCTCTCAGGTGCACCCCTCCTTTTTCACTATCCTGGGAAGCCCCCTTTATTCTCTCTCTCTCTCTCTCTCTCTCTCTCTCTCTCTCTCTCTCTCTCTCTCTCCCTCTCCCTCTCCTTGCATCTGTCTCCCTACCATCCCCTAGCTGCCCCATTGCCCTCTGTCTCTCTCCTTTCTGTCTCTCTCTGGCCTGAATCTCTGCAATGTCTATCCCTGTTCCCTGCTTCCCCTCACCAGCTCTTCCTCACTTTCTCTGTACTGACAGCAGCCCCCTCTCTTCCAGGATAGACCGTATAATTGAAATGGAGCACCCCAGAGCATGTTAATAGGAAAGGCAGCATTAATTAGCCAGCTCTGGCATAATTAGCTCCCTCCTTTCTCTGCCTGGCATCTAACTGGATAATGAGCCTCTCTCCATCCAAACAGAAGGCAGGCAGGACAAGGGGACAGGCCATGCTGGGGATGCCAGAAGGTGTCCTGCCTTTGGGCCACCCCACTGGTCTCCTCCGGCTGCCCAACCCTGCCCTCTCCTGCCAGGCCCCCCACCACTTGTGCTCAAATCTCAGGGAGGCAGATGCCTGGTCCCTGCCCATGCCTAAAGATTTGACATTACTGGAGTTGCATATTAAGTGATCTGAGCCCAACAGGGGCTGCAGCTGCAGTGTCCAGAAAGGGCGGGGAGCCACTGAGGGCTGGAGGCAAGCTAGGACTGGCACCTTTCCCTGGCACAGTCCCCTGGGCAAAGGATGAGCATATTACAGTGCCCAAAGGGGAGGATAGAAATCTTCTGTGAAAGCCAGTACCTAATGTACTGGAAACTGTAAAGCACTTCCACCATTGACCCTACAATTGCATGAGGAGAAAACGGCCACCTCCACACTGTCAGGACCCAAGCTGAGGTCTGTCCCTCCAAATACCACATCCTTTTCCTTCTACAGTGATACCTACTTCCAGAAGGTAATGTACAGCTGCTTGATAAACAAAAGTAGTTACCGTGGACTCCTACTTGACAGTGGCCTTGAGTTCTAAAGTCAGAATGCTGCAAAAATTGGAATGTTGTCTGTAGGCAAAGCCTTCTCAAATATCCTCACATGGGAAGAAACTATTTTTGTGTTTGCAGTTGGGCTGTAATTCTGCTTCTATGGCCTTGAAAGCCAGTATCTCGGTGGGAGAGGTGATGGGCAAATAAGATTTTTCTTTCAGCGTGGTGCACACGTGATCCAATTCAGTGGCGTTCAATGCCTGCTTGGTGCAGTCCCAGAACTGTGTGAGTGCTCCTAAGAGTGGGCAGCGTCGGCGCCAGGGCTGGTGCCACAGGCTCCTCCCTGCCCTTTCTCCAGGCTGTGATCTTCTCCCTCTCCCGTAGGCTATGGACTCAGAAGATGACCCCCTGCTGCAGGACGTGTGGCTAGAGGAGGAGCAGGAGGAGGAGGAAGCCACGGAGGAGCCCTATCGGGGGACCCAGAGGTCGGGGCCCCGGCCCAGGACAGGCGGGCAGTGTTGCTGGCGGCGCTGGACCCTTCCACCCAGGCCCCCATCCTCCGGTTTCTGGAGCACCCTGGGCTGGGCCTTCACCAACCCGTGCTGCGCGGGGTTAGTGCTCTTCCTGGGCTGCAGCATCCCCATGGCCCTGTCGGCCTTTATGTTCCTCTACTACCCACCGCTGGACATTGATATTTCTTACAACGCCTTCGAGATCCGCAACCACGAGGCCTCGCAGCGCTTTGACGCTCTGGCTTTAGCGCTTAAGTCCCAGTTTGGATCCTGGGGTCGCAACAGGCGGGATTTGGCAGATTTCACCTCTGAGACGCTTCAGCGCCTCATTTCAGAACAACTGCAGCAGCTCCATCTCGGAAACCGATCGCGCCAGGCCTCCAGAGCCCCTCGCGGTGTCCCCTCTGCCACCTGGGACACCTCTGCTAGCCAAAAACCAACAGCCAACCGGAGTGGGCGTCTTCGGCGTGAGGCCCCGCCCCCGAAGGATTTAGCAGCCAACCAGAGTGACGCTTCACAGGATCCGCCTATGGCCCACGATGGGCGGCACCAGCCTAGCACTCCGCCCCCCTCAGCTGCAGCAGCCAATCAGAGCCGTGCCCGCCGGGGCGCCTCACGCTGGGACTATTCCAGGGCGTATGTGAGCGCCAACACCCAGACGCACGCACACTGGCGCATTGAGCTCATCTTCCTTGCACGCGGCGACGCGGAGCGTAATATTTTCACCAGTGAGAGGCTGGTCACGATCCACGAGATAGAGCGCAAGATCATGGACCACCCAGGCTTCCGGGAATTCTGCTGGAAGCCCCACGAAGTGCTCAAGGACCTGCCACTTGGCTCCTACTCCTACTGCTCCCCACCCAGCTCGCTCATGACCTACTTCTTCCCCACAGAGAGGGGCGGCAAGATCTACTATGATGGCATGGGCCAAGACCTGGCCGACATCCGGGGTGAGCAGAGCCAGCTGGGTCTGAGTGGGCCTGGGCTTTTAGAGTCTGGAAGGTGAACCCTGCCGGGCTGGAGCCGAGAGCTGACCCTACTGTGAGGTGGAGGGGAGAAAGGGCTGGGAGGCGGAGGCAGGACTGGAATGGGACACGGAAGGTGGAATTTTAGGGGCTCAGAGACTGGGAATCAGGTGGGGTTCAAACTGGAATGAGAGTTTAAACGTAGCAGGAGATGACACTTGTCTGGAAAGCTGTAGGTTCTTTAAAGAAGCCCTCTGCCCCACTGGGGAGTTTCTGGGCGCCTTGGTTAGGGATGAGAGGGTGGAAAGTGGCGCTGAGCTCTTTGGGCCCTACCCTGCCCCTACAGGCTCCCTAGAGCTGGCCATGACACACCCTGAGTTCTACTGGTACGTGGACGAGGGCCTCTCCGCTGACAACCTGAAGAGCTCCCTCCTGCGCAGCGAGATCCTGTTTGGAGCCCCTCTGCCCAACTACTACTCGGTGGATGACCGCTGGGAAGAGCAACGGGCTAAGTTTCAGAGCTTTGTGGTCACCTACGTGGCAATGCTGGCCAAGCAGTCCACTAGGTAGGGAGTGTAGCCCCACCCCAGAGTGTGCCTGCCCCCATGGGTACCAGGATAGAGCTGTCTTTGGTTTCCAGGTACCTCTCATTCATAATCTCCATCTGTACCCCTGGGAAGTCTTTCTTCCCAAACCAGTGCCAGATCCAGGTAGAGCCATCAAGCCATTTCCCTTGGCATCAGCGTCAGTGCTTGTGAAATGGGGACCATGAAACTTTGCCCAGTGATTAGGAAGACATGAGCTAACTGGTGTGAGGGTGCTTAGGGCTGTAAATGCTTTGGGAGGGTGCATCTGTGAATACAGTCAAGTCCTCCCCTCTGGGACAGTCTGGCTGGGTAATGACTCCAGTGTGTTCTAGCTCTAGCCCTGACAGGCCTGCCGAGGAGAGACCCTTCTGTTCTGCCTGAAATACCCTCATTCCTTTCATTGCTCATGGGTGATATTGAACAACCACTATCAGAATCCAAACTGTTTACTGAGCACTTACTCTGGACTTCACACTATTCATAGCCCTTTACATATCCCATCATTTAATTCTCACCCCAACTACATGAAATTGTTGTTATTATAATTGTCTCTGTATGGACGTGAAGGTACTACAAGATTAAGTTGTCCAAAAATGTCAAGCTCTTCGGTGGTCGAATCAGACTCGTGCAGGCTTTCTAACCCAGAGTCCTCACCTTTAAGTTTTTATGCCAATTGATGCATTAGGAGCCTTTACCCTGCCCTGCTTTTTTGACACGCAAATGCTGTTTATCTATTAAGGTAGTATCTTATCTATTTCAGGCTTAACTATTTGGGCTCTTTTTCCCTGAGGCTGGAATAAATGTTCACCCTGTCTGTGTTCACAGTCCCCTTCCCACTCTCCAAGGGAGATTAGAAAGCACACACAGATGTTGGAGTTAGCTGTCTCTGAGGTCAGATCCCAGTTACTCCTTTCTTAGTTGTGGCCATTTCTGTGAGCAATGTCACTTCTCTGTGCTCCAATTTCATTTCAGAACTTGTCATGCTGTATTTTAGTTGTAATTCAAAGGTCAGTCCTTAAATCAGCAATGCCAGAATTATCTGCAGGATTGTTAGAAGTGCAGACTCCCAAGCCTTTTCCCAGAACTGCAGACTCTCCAGGCGATTTGTTTGCAAGTTAAAGTTGGAGAAAGGCCTGGTTTAATTATCTGTCATAATAGAAGGTGAGTTTGTTGAGGTCTGGGGTTGTTTCTGTAGGTATAGCCTCAGTACAGCAGCAGGCACCTCTTAGTGAGGATTTGTCTGATGTTGGGTGAGTAGAGGGGCCTCAGAGAAAGACAGCCGAGATGGGCTGATGGCAGAAGGATCTTCAGGGTTTCGGGTGCCAGTGATTATTTCTACCTTAAATGTTCAGCTGCTGAAGCAAAATCTCTGCCCTTAGGAACAAGAGGAAAAAAAAATTCTTTCCCTTTCCCTCCTCCTAGAGCTTGGTAACAGTAGTGACAGCAGGACCCTTGTGGATTTGATGTTAATGCAGCCTTTTGGATTAACACAGTCTTTTTTATTATCATATTATTGGTGACCCAAGAGATGGCAATATGTACCTTGACTTAATATAAATAATACAGATTATTATTATTGCCCAGATAATGCTGGAATTCTAAAACATGTTCTCTGCAAATATTCTTCTTTAGCCTCGTGTTTGTTTTTGTTCCAAGCATCCTAATTCTGTGTACACTGGGAACCCCACAGGACCTTGCATTATTGTGGAGTCTCTGTTCATTTGCATTTATTCACATATTTACCTTTTTAGTTGTTCTTCATCACGTTCTACAATTTTACATTTCCCTCTGGGATCATTTTCCTTGCGTCTGAAGAATGTTTGTTGATGATAAATTTTGTTTTATTTGTCTAGGAAACGACTTTATTTTATTTCCACTTTTGAAGTTTGTTTTTGCTGATACTGAGCTACAAATCGGCGGTTATTTTCTTTTGATATTTTAAAGACATTGTCCCAGTGTCTTCTAACTTCCATTATTTCTGTTGAAAAGTCAGCTGTAAATCTTTTTGTTGCGCTTTTAAGTGATTATTTTTTTTTCCCTCTGGTTTAAGATTTCTCTTTGTCTTCTGGTTCACTAGTTTTGGTTTGAGAAGTATTGGCATAGTTTTCTTTGTATTTGTTTGGTTTGTGTCACAGAACTTTTTGAACCTCTATGTTGATGATTATAATCAGTTTTAGAAACTTCCTGTTATCACTTCAACTAGTGCTTCTCCCTTGTTTGCTGTAACTTTTTAGGACTCATCTATCGATGTTTGTTTCTAGGTTTTATCTACTTTTTTTTCTTTCTGTTCTTTGGTTTAAGTATTCCAGTTCACTAATCTTGTGTTCTTTCTACTCTATCATTTTTTTTACATTTTTATTTATTTATGTGTGTGTGTGTGTATGTGTGTGTGTGTGTGTGTGCACGTGTGTGGCCAGCTCAGCCCACCAGGGGGCGGGGCTGGCTGGCATGTGGTGCTGGGGGATTGAACCGCGGTCCCTGTGCTTTGCTAAGCTTGTTCTAAGTAAGTGCTTTAGACCACTGAGCCATCTCACCAGCCCTTTCTACTCTATCATTTAATGTCTGTTGAGTCTTTATTTTTGATATTCTGTTTTTCTGCTTAAAATTTCCAATTGGTTCTTTGTTACAGATTTCCATCACTGGTGAAGTTTTTCATATTCATCTTTTTTGTGCAAAGTCTTTTTTCTGTTCTTAAATATGCTAATTATAGTTGCTTTAAACTTCCTATCCTGTAACCTCAACATATGGGTAACTTGTAGATTTATTTTTGTGGCCTGTTGTCTTGCTTGGTTTTTGGTCATGTTGTCCTGCGTGTAGTAACCTGGTAGTTTTTATTGCATGATGAACATTGTGTATAAAAAATAAAGAGGTCTAAGTGATAGTCTTTCCTCCACAGAAAGTTTGCCCTTCCTTACCCTTCCCTTCTCTAGGTTGGTAGCTGTGTGTAGTCACCAATCAGTGACTACAGGAAATAGTTCTTGGTGTACCTCTCATTGGTTGTAGGTTCTCCAAGACTTGAAACAGAAAGCCTGGTGTATTTTGCAGAGTTCTTTCCTGTGACACCTTACAAACTTTGTTTTTATTTCTCAGAGCTACTTGCAAAACACTACTCTGCTTCTTTCCTGAGACTTCGTGGTTAGGTGTTTTTAGCCATATGCCTCTTACAACCCAGTCATTCAGAAAAAGTGTTGAGGAAAAAACTAGCCATGTGTCCTACTAGTTTCCATGTCTCTGCCTAAAGCTCTGCCAATTTATTTGACTTGCAGTCAAGACTGAAAGCCTTTTGCCCATGTTCAGAAGCAGCAGACGCCTCCAGTATTAAAGTGACCATATAAGGACAATTTACCATCTTATACAAGAACATGGAGCATCCATGGATTTTGGTATTAGAAGGAGGTCTGACCCAATGCTCCATTGATAGGAAGGAACAACTAGGATTCCAGGCAATAATTCTGGCCTTCCATGAGCTGTCCTTTTCTACTTGAAAGTAAACATTTGGGCTTGTGTATTTTCATAGCTGACAGCTAAGACAGGACTTGGAGTCTGGACAGCGCTCTATAAAGCTTCACAAATTAATGTGTAAATGAATAATGATTGATTTAACTCACAATTTTCTACTTGAATGAAAGAACAATTAAGCTGTTTAATTTAACAAAGTGGGTAATCCAGAGATCTTTTCTACTTGGCTTTTATGTGTCCTGTTCATGTTTTTAACAACTTTATTGAGGTATAATCGACACACAACCAACTGCAAATACTTAGCTTTATAATTTGATTAGATTTGACACATGTATACCACAAAATTGCCAATGCAATCAAGGTAGTAAATATACCCAGTTGGGTGCAGTGGCACACACCTGGAACCCCAGCTGTAACTGGGAGACTGAAGTAGGAAGATTGAAAGTTCAAACCCAGTCAGGCAATTTAGCAAGACTCTATCTCAAAATTTTTAAAAACTTAAAAAGGGGACCACTTGTCTACCATATACAAGGCCTCAGGTTCAGTCTGCATTAACACACACACACACACACACACACACACACACACACTCATATCTGTCATCTCCAGTATTTCCTTATGTCACCCTATAATTTGTCCATCTTCCCTCCCCACACCCACCCTAAGCTGCCACTCTTTTATCTTTCATTATATATTGGCTTTCATTTTCTACAGTTGTATGTACTTGGAGCGATACAGCATATATTGTTTTGATTGGCCTCTTTCATTCCACCAAACTAATTTGATGTGGTTGTGTGTTCCAACAACTTACTCTCATTCTTCTTAAAGTTCTGAGTGTATGTCCTTATATGGTGATGCCATGTTTTGTTCATCTACTCACCTGTTGATGGGTAGTTGGGTTGTTTCCAGGTGTAGCTATTACAGATAAACCTGCAAAGAACATTCATGCCTTTGTGTGGACATGTACTTCCATTTCTCTTTAGCTTTTTTTTTTTTTAATTTTATTTGTGTGTATGTGTGTGTGTGTGGCCAGCTTAGCCCACCAGGGGGCGGGGCGGGCTGGCATGTGGTGCTGGGGGATTGAACCGTGGTCCCTGTGCTGTGCTAAGCTTGTTCTAAGTAGGTGCTTTAGACCACTGAGCCATCTCACCAGCCCCCCATTTCTCTTTAAGATCTAGAAATGAAATAACCCAGTGATATGGTAGACATATGTTTAACATTCTAAGAAACTACCAACTCTTTTCCAAGTTGGTTGTATCAGTTCATATTTCCACCAGTAGTAGTGTATGACAATTCCATGTATGCATTCAAACACCTGGCATGTTCAGTGTAAAACATTGTAGGTATTCTATTAGATGTATGACGGTGTCTCACTGGCTTCAGCTTGCATTTTCCTGATTACTAGTGATGCTGAACATCTTTTCACATCCTTATTTACATCTGTGTATCTTCTTTGGTGAGCTGTCTTTGCGTAGTTTAAAATTATTTTTATGTGTAGTACAGGAGATTAACTTCAAGGCCTTCACAATGAGCTACACGCCCAGCCCCCCCACCTTTTTTTTTTTTTTTTTTTTTTTTGTATTTTTTGTTTTGAGACAAGGTCTTGCTAACTTGCAAAAATTATCAGGCTAGACTCAAACTTATGATCCTTACTTCAGCCTTTAATACCTTTTTGCTGGAATTACAGGTGTGTACCACCTTGCCTGGCTGTTTTTGCCCACTTTTGAATTGGGTTTTACAGTTAGTACTGTCATTTCAGGTTCATCTTTGTACATACTGCAGGATATGCATGGGGTTTATTATTGTTGTATGAAAATTGTAATTGTTCTAGTAACATTTGTTGCAAATATTACCCTCTTTCTCCTGAATTTCCTTTGTACATTAGCTGTACCTTGTCATTTATGTGTAAGTCTATTTCTGGACTTTCTATTCTATTGATCTATTTCTATCTACAGACTAGAATAACATGGCCTTGATTAGTATAGCTTTATGTAAGCTCTTAAAATCAATGTTAGTCCTCCAACTTTTTTTTTCAAGTTGTTTTAGTTATTTTAGGTCCTTTGGATTTTCATACAAATTTTATAATCAGCTGGGTTCTACTAAAAAAAAAGTCTGCTGGGATCTTAAGGACAATTATATATAATCCATAGATCAGATTGAGAAGTAATATCTTAATAATGACCCATAGGTGTATCTGACATCTTTTTCAGGATTATCCCTAAGCAGTTACTATTTTTATGTTACTGTAAACAGTGATTTTCATTTCAGCTTCAAACCGTTAATTCCTGCTATATAGAAACGTAATTTATTTGGTGTTCTACAACCTGGCTAATTTACTTAGTAGTTTTAATGGATTGCTTTTTATTTGTTTTGTTTTGTTTCTGCTTTTGTATATTCCTTTGGGCTTTTTACATAGAATCATGTCTTCTGCTAATGAAGACAATTTGCTTCTTACTTTCTTTTTTTTTTTTTTTTCTTCACTTATGTATTTGGTACAGGGTCTCACTACACAGCTCAGACTCATAGTGGTCCTCCTGTTTTCAGCCTTCCCAGTGCTAGGATTACAGGTGTGCCCCACCATGCCCTGACTGCTTCTTACTTTCTGATTTGGAAACTTCATTTCTTTCCTTGTCTGATTGCAGTGGCTAGCACCTCCAATACAGTGTTGGATAAACTAAGCTTTGATGACTCAAGTCCTTTATGGAATTGTTCATTTCATTTATATTAAAAAAAAAATTGAGACTTGGTGTGGTGGTGCCCGCCTGTAATCACAGCTCTTGGGAGGCTGTAAACAGGAGGATCACTACACATGCAATCTAGTAGTGAGACCCTGAACACCCTGTAGAGCCTTCCCTAAAATACAAAAAATAAAAAAATTGGTGTAAAAGATTCATAATATTCTATTATCTTTTCCATATTTGTAGAAATTAGTGATCTCATCACTGATGTGTGTTTTCTCTTTTTTTGTTTTTTTGTTTTTGTTTTTTTCTCTTTTTAGCATATTCTCCTTGGCTGGAACTTTATCTCTTTTATTTATCTTCTCAGAACACTACATTTTTATTTATGTATTCTGCTGTGTTTCTTTCTATTCCACCAACCTTTCTTTCTCTAATCCTTAGTATTTTCTTTCTTCTGCCTATTTTGCACTTAATTTTCTCTTGTTCTGCTGTTTCAAAATAGAAACTCAAGTCATTGATTGGAAGCTTTTCTTCTAGATTGTTAGTTAGCTAGCTAGCTAGTTTTTCTGATGCTGGGGATTGAACCCAGGGCCTTGAGCACACTGTGGCAGTGCTCTACTGCTGAGCCACATCCCCAATCCTCATCTTTTCTAATCTAGATATTTAGTGCTCTAGAATTTTCTTTTTTTATGAGCAGAATATAT